TGCAGTTAAATTACTCCCCTTTATATACCCAGCTATATCTTACTTACTGCTTACCCTTTCCTATAGAATAAAGACCATTTCTTTTTTTATTTTTGAGATACTTGCAGTTCCCTAGTGCAGAGTATTTTTCCTACTGATGTAGTTTTTCAGAGTAATGTCCTTGCTTAAGTCTGGATTTGTTTTTATTTGACAAACATGGGGTCCTTGTGATTGGATTCTTTTACTTAGCATGATAATATCAAGATTTATCCATGTTAAATATAAAGCATACATCCATTTTTCAATTTTTATTGTTTTTACTCTTTTTTACATTTCTTTTGTTGCAAAATAATATTATATATTATAAGTATTGCATATATTATCTACTAATTGGTTGTTGGAAATATTGTTCCCAATTTTCAACTGTTATGAATAATGCTGATAAGCATTATAACTTTGTGTATAAGTTTTTATGTGGGCATATGTTTTTATCTCTCTTGGTTATATACCTAAGAAAGCAATTGCTGGATCACATGGTAACTATATGATTAACTTTTTGACAATACATGTAACTGTTTTCACAGGGACTGCACTATTTTGCAATCCCACCAGCAGGGTATGAGTGAGAGTTCCCATTTCTTTAAATTCTCACCACTACTGGTTATTGTACATCTTATTATAGTCATTTTAATGGTAGTGAAGTGATACCTCATGGTTTTGATTTGCATTTCCCCGATGGCATCTTTTTATGTTCTTATTGGTCACTTGAATATCTTTTTTGAAGAACTGTTTGAAACATTTTTTTATTGACACATAATTGATTATACATATTTGTGTGGTACAGTATTGAATATCGATGCCTATGTACAGTATGTGATGATCAACTCAAGACAATTAGCATACTCATCATTGCAAAATGTGATCATTCTTCATGACCCATAACCAATTTCTTGCTAACCCCCCTCCCTCTCCCCCTTTCCCACCTCTAGTAAACACAATTCTGTTCTCTCATTTTGAAAGTTCAATGTATTATTTTGATCTGACTTTCTTTCTTATTTATTGATTTTTTAGCTCCCACTTATAAGTGAGGATGTGTGGTATTTCTTCTTCTGTGTCTAGCTGCTTCACTTAACATAATTTTCTCCAAGCTCATCTATGTTGCTGCAAATGGCAGAATTTCATTCTTTTTTATGGCTGAGTGATATTCCATGGTATATACATACCACATTTCCCATATCCAGTCATCTCTTGGTGGATACTCAGGTTGGCTCCATATTTTGGCTATTGCAAATAGAGCTACAGTGAACATGGGAGTGCAGGTAACCCTTCAACATGATGATTTCCATTCCTTTGGCTATATACTCAGCAGTGGGATTGCTGAATAGTATGGCAGTTTTATCCTTAGTTGTTTGGGGAACCTCCATACCGTTTTCCATAACAGCTGCACTAATTTACAGTCCCACCAACAAAGGAAACAATCAGCAGAATGAGATGACAAACTACAGAGTGGGAGAAAATTTTTATGAACTATGCATCCAACAAGGGACTAATATCCATAATATCAAGGAACTCAAGCAATTACACAGTCAAAAAACAAATAACCCAATTAAAAAATTGGACAAAGGAGCTGAATAGACATTTTTCAAAGGAAGACATACAAATGGCCAATAGGTACATGGAAAAATGCTCAACATCACTAGTTATCAGGGAAATGCAAATTAAAACTACATTGAGATACCATTTCACCCCAATTAGACTGGCTATAATCAAAAAGACAGTGAATAATAAGTGCTGGCAAGGGTGTGGAAAGAAGGGAACACTCCTGCACCATTGGTGGTACTGTAAATTAGTACAACCACTGTGGAAAACAGTATGGAGGTTTCTCAAACAACTACAGATAGATCTTCCATACAATCCAGCATTCCCACTTTTGGGTATATACCCAGAGGAACGGAAATGATCACTTGGAAAGGATACCTGTACTCCCATGTTCATCGCAGATCTGTTTACAATAGCCAAGACATGGAAACAATGTAAATGTCCATTGATGGATGATTGGATAAGGAAACTGGTATATATACACCATGGGATACTACTCTGCCATAAAAAATAATGAAATACTCCCATTTGAAACAACATGGATAAGCCTGGAGAAACTTATATTGAGTGAAATAAGCAAAGCACAGAGGGATAAATACCACATGTATTCACTCATAAGTGGGAGTTAAGAGAGAAAGAAGGAAGGAAAGAAAGTCCACAGTGGTGCGTTAGACTTGCAGAGGGAGAGAACATACCTTGGGATACAAAGCAGAGTGGGGATGAAAAGGATGAGGAGCGAGGGGGGAAAAATGGGTGCGGGACATGGGATACAAACACAAGTTGTGGTAATGGGCATGTTGTCAGTATGAATCTTTCCTTCACATCTTGGGCATGAGGGGTGACAATCAGCTTTGTATCTCATGAATATTCATAAACAATAAAAAATTACACACATATATTTATATGTAAAACCTCCTATAACTCAACAACAAAAACAACAACAACAAAAAACCCCAATTCAAAAATAGATGAGTGACTTAAATAGACACTTCTCCAAAAATGATATACAAATAGCATGAAACTTTTCAAATATGTTCTGGGGAAAGAGCCAAGGGTGTGGCTGGAAACTTTTTGCTGAAGACATTAGATGTGTAACTAACATCCAATCAACACTTTAAGCCAAATCCAGGAACAGAGATAGAGTTATCCAGAAAGGATCTATGGAGAATTTTCTTGTCTGATGGCGTGGATCTCCTTCATATGCAGAGGAGACCCACAAGATTTCTAGAAAAAATGTTATACTACCAAAAACCCTGCCAGCTTTGCATGAAGTCAACAAGTGAGGGACAAAAACTGAAGAAAGTTTGTCAGACTTCTGGGATTTTACAGGCAACAGAAAGGATTATAGAACTACTTGGCTGCTAACATGTCATCCTTCAAGAAAAAGGAAGAATGACCCTGAGGGCAGAGCCACAGATAAACAAGCAGAGGCCGGAGGGGACAGTGCTGTCTCCACTGGTCCAGAGAACAAAGTGTCAAGCCACGGAGGATAATTCTCAGGCCTTGAAACCTAATGGAATTTATCCTGCTGGGTTTCAAACTTGTTTAGGACCAGCGAATCCTTTAATCCTTTTATATTCTCTCTTTCCGAATGAGAATGTGTATCCTATGCCTACCCCACCAATAAATTTTGGAAGTACATAACTCGTTTCCTGGTTTTACAGGTCCACAGATGGAGAAGAATTTTGCACCCACATAGATCATAATAAGAGTCTCACCCATACCTGATTTAGATGATTTAGATAATGAGATTTGGGACTTTTTGAACTGATGACATTTAAATGGGATATTTGACTTACAGTTGAGGCTGGGATGTGTCAACTTTTGAAGATGGTGGAATGGGGTGAATGCAGTTTTCACATAAGATGGATGGGAATTTTCAGGGCCAGAGGGCACAATGTAGGGAGTTGAAGAGTGGCCTCTAAAAAATATGTCCATCTGGAACCTCAGAATGTGAAATTATTTGGAATAAAGGTGGTTTCAGGCATTAATGTAGGAATCTCAAGATGAAATAATACTGGATTAAGGTGGACTCCAATCCAAAAACGGGTGACCTTGAAAGGGAGAGAAAAGGAGAAAACACAAAGACACAAGGAAGAAGACCATGTGAAGAGAGAGGCAGAAATACAAGTTATGCTGCCACAAGCTAAAAAACACCAGCAGCAATCAGAAGCTGGAAGAGGCAAAGAAGGATTCTCTTCTTAGAGACTTTTGAAGGAGCATAGCCTTGCTCACACCTTAATTTTAGATTCCTGACCACCAGAACTGTGAGAAAATAAATTACTTCAGTTTTAAACCACCCAGTTTGTGGTACTTTATTATGGCAGCTTTAGTATAATATTCTCATCAATATAGAGACACATGCCTGCACACACGAACTATGTATTTTTTCTGAAAATAACAATCTTTAGATTTCTTTTCTAAATTAGTATCTTATATCAGTATCTTATATAAGATATAGTATCTTATATCTTATATTTGCAGTTAATGTTTTGTAGTTATGTTTGAATAGCCTTTCATAGATTTCTTGGGTATCACTATTGCTTTCAATAACAATTCGAGATTAATATCAGTTTCCCTTCTCTCTACTGATTTCTTTGTATATCAAGAACATTAATCCTATGTCAGTCATACATGTGGGCAGTTTTTCTTCTCAGGTTTTTGTGTGTTCTTTAATGCTGTTTTCCCTCAAATGGTTTTTTTTTTTTTAAATTTAAATAGATTTGTATAGCTAAGAAAGAAATACTGTTCTCTAAATAAAAATATTTGACTAATACACTAGGGACATAAAACACCAGCCCCCAGGTTTACTGGGGTTAGAGAGAGGGCCCACCTCAGAAGCCACACAGCCCTTTGAAGAATAGCTCTGGCCGTGCATTCAGGATTTGAGTCTCTACTCCACCATTTCCCAGAAGTTGCTTACCCTGTCCAAGTGTCCCTTTTCTCCTCTGTAGATCAGAGACAGTAATGCCCACTTTGAATGGATTTTGCAGGGATTTGACAGAATAGGCAACATTACTCTTTATTATGAAAAGAAACAGTAATTCCGGCAGGGGTTTGGGGGAGCATACAAATAAGCTGGACAACTGGCCCTTCGGGTAGATAAGAGTCAGCCCTATGAGGTAGGCTTTGGCTATCCAGCCCCAACCAACCTCCCAGTTCAGTAACAGTAAAAATATTCATGCAGGAACAAAAACACAACAAAGATGATGAAGATGAAGATAATGACCCCCAAGGGTTTTTTCTCAGGGCTTTGTTCTCAGGATCCTGGACCAGTCTATGTGAGGGCCTCCTCTGGGATCTTGCCCATGGCCTGGAGGAAGTGAAGGAGGGAGTTGGGAGATCAACAGAAACAGGCACTCCGAGTTTCATCCCCAGGCCACCTGTTCTCCATTCACTTGGCCTGAATTCCCAGACCTCACCTTAGGCACAGCGAGAACCTGAGCAGATCTGCTATAGTCCCAGTGGTTGCCGTGAAGGCACCTGGGACAGAGGAAGGACAGGTGACATCCATTAAGACCCAGGAGAGACACTCTGACAGCACAATGCTATTTCCTAATCTATGCAACAGAAACATGCCTCCATGTTTACTGGAACATATGCAGCAGAATATATATTGTGGCACAGTGTGTGATGGGAAAACACAGCTGAAAAGCCAAATGTCTCACAGTAAAAGAGGAAGGTCTGTGAAACTTAGAGAAGTACCATGCACTTATTCAAAACAACTAGATAGCTTAATATGAACTGAGAGAAGAATGCTCAGTGTGATAATAAGTGAAACAAAGAAGCAAAACCAATTATCTGAAAGTTTCCATTATTCATTCCCTGTTCCTCCCAGCTTATACTATCATTGTGCACACCTAGCACTCACTTCTAGGACCACTCAAGGTCCATCCCAGACTGGGTGGAGAAAGCCTGCACCATTTCCTGCTGCTCCTTGGAGAGGGTGTGCATGGAGCTGGAGGAAGATGTGAGCATTGGGATGGAGAAGATGCTCTGCGTCTCTTTGGTGCTGGCATTCCTCACAATTAGCTCATCGTTCACAATGCACAGACTGGAGGAAAGATGGACCCTCAGACAATTGGACAAATGGACAATCCAACACTTCCAACAATGATCCTGTTTCCTCTGCCACTCAGCAACCAGATTCCTTCCAAATCCCTATTTTGCCTACTTCTCAGATTCCACGTCTGATACCGTTTACCTCTGCCACAGAGCCCACTTTTGGAGACACTGTCTACACACTACGCTAGATTTGTAGGTTTATCTATAACACAAGGGTGATTCACTAACATTTTGCCCTTTACGACAGCCCAAGGGGAGTAGACAGTGTAATCACTATTTTCAGAGGGAGACAATTGAGTTACAGAGAGGTCATAAGACTTCACTAAAGTCACAGAGCTAGTGAGTACTATGTTGGAAAAGAATCCATATTCTGACTCTAGAGTCTACACTCTTAACTAGTAGACTAGACTGCTGGTTTTTGGCATTATTGATAACACCTCTAGGACTCTGCTGCCACATTCCCACACCTGTGATGGTTGTTCCCATGTTGTACCCACAACACAGCACTTACCTGGAATTGCTCGTAGGGATAGTGATGAAGGCCCGGGTGAAGGCATGAACAGAACCCTGTGACTTTCCTTCTACTTCAAGGACAATAAACAACAATATCTCCTTAGAGCTGCATGTGCTTTACACACTCACACAGCATTCCCTAGTCAGCCAGCGTCTTACTTGACACTCACTCTGAAGGGGGCCAGAATGAGATAATTGTTCGCTTGGAGTCAGGAGGGCATGGCAGGAATGGGGAGGCAACAATGGGAGCAATATGCTCCCTGTGGTAGGGCCCCTATCATGTGCAGGGGGCCCTGTGACATCCACTTCACAAGTTCACTTCATTTCTGTTTCACAGTAGCCCAAGAGATAGGCATTATTAGCACATTGTATAGATGAGGAATCTGAGCTGTTAGGTAACGAAACCAAGTTTGCAGAGTAAGGACCTGAGATTAGAGGCATTGAACTCCACAGCCTGTGTCCCTAATGCCTCAGCTGTGTGAAGCAGACAGGTGTGGACCCAGGTCAAGCCAGGACGGTTCGGGGGCAGAGTGAGGACAGGAGAACACACAGGGAAGAACAGGAAGGCAAGGAACAGAATCAGGGAAGCTGGGAGAAGTCTGAGAGGGATTCCAGCCAGGGAGAGGGAGCAGTGGGGGCTGTGGAGAGGGGACTCTACAGTCACTCACCTTCCTCGAATACCCCTTTGACAGAAAAGCAGAGCATCGTATCCTGAAAGGGAAGAACTCAGGAGCTCAGGATCCTCCTTAACCTCCTACCACCTCCTTCTCTCTGGTGTTGCCTGAGGCAGGAAGCAGGTGCTCACCGTCTGGATGCACATGTCCACCATGAAGGAGCTGAGGTCATGCTGAGTTTTGGGCAACACACTGAGGAAGTCCACAATGTCACGTTTTGTGTGCTTCAGCAGCCGCCTCCGCAGGTCTGTAAAAGGGGGCAGAAGAGGAGATCTGGGCCTGCCACACCCTGGCCTTTGGCCCCTATGATTGTCCCCTTCACTCCCCGCCCTTACCCTGCCTGTCACACACTTACAGGGGTCCTTCAGCTTCTTCGTATTCCTATCATCCTTGAAGTACTTGCACAAGCTGATCCTAGAAGAAAAAGAGGAGCAGGATGTGGTCAGCCAGTGTGGGTATTTTCAGGAGCTGGCCTGTGTCTGCTGGGGAGCCACATGGGCCCAGAACAGAGTCTGAGCTGTGGTACTCATGGGGCTGGGTGTTTGAGGTTGAAGGGAATGGTCAGGGAGAAGCAGCCCTCATCGTGGTAAGATGCAAGGAGATCCTTTCAATCACCAGAGTCATAGATGAAGTAATACCTGTGGAGGAGGAAGGGGGACAGGCTATCTCTGTGCTCTGGGCTGAAATGAGACTTGAAAGTCCCCCTGAGAAGGCCTGTGTTTGGATGGCCTCACCTGTTCGAGTTTTCCCTTTACTTGTGGTCCCAGGAATACTTACTGCTGCAGGAACTGCAGTACAAGACTCTTCAGTGTCTCAGATCCAAAGAAGCTTCCCTAAAATAAAGAGTCCTCAGGACCACAGCTATCACCCTCTACTCATGTACCACCTGAAACCTTGCTTAATCCTCCCTCCTCACCTTGCAGGTTGGTAACCTTTATGGGCCTCAGTGCCATAGAAGGTTGGTCTCAGTGACTCCTAGTCATCCTGGGGAAGACGAGAGAAAGTCAGCAGTGCAGATCAAGGAGGCGGTGATGGATGATCAGGGAAAGGGATGGGTGCAGGAGAGGGTGAAGGTCAAAGGTCATGTATGAAAAGGCCATGTATGGGCAGGACTACAGTTGAGGTTGTCATCGGGGGTCCCTGAAGCCTGTGGATAACTTGTGTGAATAGGCTCCATAGCCTTTGTCAGGTTCCCACGTGGATCTGCATTACCTTTCTTCACCCCCTTGAGTTTTAAAGGTCAGATGGAAAACATTGCAAGACCTAAAGGGATTCAGGGCAGTTGGGGGCAGTGTCAGTGATAATTAGAGGTGTCAATGATCAAGGAATGCACTTACCAGGCATAATAATTTGGGGAACAATTCCAGGATGGAGCTGCCAAAAATCAAAACAAAATAGACAAAAGTAAGTGAAACTGTGGAGCTCCTCTGCTTCATGGAAGCACACCGACAATAAAGATACAGCCTACTATGTCCCACCCATACACCAGTTCCCCTGCTGCTCCAGCCCTGGTCAGCTCCCCTATGGACTGACCCAGAGGAAGATCTCTTTCTATTCATCTCTCTCTTTCTCACTCATCTTCTCTATCTTCCTCTCACTCTCTCTCTGTCTCTGACTCTCTCATCCAATCTCTGTCTCTCTCATCTTTCTGTCTCTGTCTGTCTCTCTTTCTCTTTCTCTCTCTTTCTGTCTTTGTCTCTCTTGCTCTCTCTCCTCCCTCCCCTTCCTCCTGGGTAGTTACCACCTAGACTGCCCTGGCTTTCTCCTTCAGTGCCATAAGCAGTGTCATTTGGAACCTGGGCTTCCTCCAAGTCCCCAAGGAAGGCTCCAGAGGAAGCAGGGAACAGGGTGGGAGCCCAGGGCTCTGCGGCCTCATGGCTGTCCAGGATTCTGCCGGGCCTGGCATGGCCAAGACCAGGTCATTCCCCAAGGAGGACCCTGATGCTGGGGCAGGGAGAGGAAGGCAGGGCCACGGATGCAGAAAGCAAGAGACGGTGGTGTAGGGAGAGAGGGGGAGACATAGGAGAAGACAGGCAAAGGAGAAAGAGGAAGCAAAGCAACCAGAAGGGAAAGGAGCTCTACCATGGTGGTGGGGACAGGGAGGAAGGAGGAAGACAATGGCTCTCCTGCTGAAGCCCTTTCCCTCACCTGCCCCAGGCTGGCCCTGGGGCCTGAGGTAGGACTGGAAAACATGCAGCTCTTGGGCTGGTCCCACTGGATGCAGGTCGAGCCTTTGTCACCTGTGTGAGGAGTAGCCACAGGGATAGGAGACCTTCCCCAGAAGGGGAGAAGGGTCAGGTTCCAGCCCAGCATGGGGTTGAGGTCTGGGGCCCCCACTTATGATCACCATGTTCTCTCCTGATGGTTGCTGTGCACCTGTGCCTGTCTGAGTCAGTGCCTTGTCGGAGGAATCCTACCCATCTCAGACTATCAGGGCTTCTCTGAAGGATCAGGCAGGATTATGTGACACGTGGACAGAAGGAAGGAGGGAGGGCCGTGTCCCTGAAAGGCCTGTCCTGCTATCTCCTCAACCTCCTCTGCCCTCTGCCTTCCACTCCCGCCTTGGGAAGCCCTCTGTTCACTGGCGGTGACCTACTTCTGGTCCCCTGACTTGGGAAACCCAAGCTTCTCCCAGAGGAGGGCCTACCTTCTTTCTCTGGGCCAGAGGAATGGATGTCATGACAGCAGTCACCCAGGTCCTCAGCCCTGAACCTGGGGCAGGAAGCCCCCCTATTAGCCTGGGGCAGGTGGGGGACCTTTTTGGAGCAAGGGAAGGAGGACCCATCTCAGCACAGGGCAGGGAAGCCCCGTCTCAGCATGGAGGCATGAGGCCCTGGGCTGGAAGACCCTTCTCAGTCCAGGCACCAGCATGTGGCTCAAGGCTGTACATGCCTGGTTCTGGTGAGGAGGGGGAGCCCTGCTTCCTGGAGCACACTCATGGAGGGCAGGTTGGAGGAGGCTGGGTGCAGAGAGGCAGTAAATACACCTCAGATTAGGAGAAAAGGTGAGCAAGTCAGAGGAAGGAAAGGAGACCTCTAAGCACAGCTGAGGGACAGAGGGAGAGAGGATGGTGCAGGGCCTATGGTCTCCCAGAGAACCAGGGCTGCTTCCTCCTGCAGACAGCACCACAGCTGGAGCTCAGGCTCCTAAGGGGTGACAGAGGGTTCAACTGACTTTATGTTGTTGGACGTATCCAGGAAGGTTATGCACGGGAGGTTTCTGTCTGCACATATCTCTTCTGGCTGCAGTTCTTTCCCCTTGTTCATCTCTCTTGCAAACTCCACCTGTAATTATGTGGAAGAACCATACGGACAGGGAGAGAGAGATAGGAGGGCCTTTCACTGCCAGTCCCCTCCCTTGCTGACAAAACCCTTTTCCTGCTTCATCACCGCCCTAATGAGTCCTCCCATATTCCCTTCAAAGAACAATCTGAGTATTACAACTCACCTCATTTTCGGAGCTGAAGATTTTGGTGTTGGGGACCTTTGGCATAGTGTCAGACAGGCTAGCCAGCTGGTATGGCTTGTTATTGCTTAGGTTCAAGGGCAAAAGCTATGATGGGAAAAGAGGTAGAATGAAGGCCCCAAAAGGGGATATCTGAGACCAATCTGCCTTCTAGATGATCTCTCCCACCTTCCCCCTCAATCCTAGCACTGGGCATAAGGCCTTACCTTAGTTATGTTCTCTTCATGGATCTGCTGGGAGGCAGCCATGCATTTTCTAGGATTCATTGCCATTTCGATGTCACAGGTCATCAAGTCTCCAGAAAGCAGAAAAGAGGGAATCAAAAAAGGCTGAGAGGGGTCCTGCTGGACAAGCACCAGCACCTACACCTGCCCAGGTTACAATCCCTAAGTCTCCTGCCCAGGCAGACCCCTCTGCTCTAGAATTACTGCTGTCAGCCATACCTGAGCCAAAGGGGAGTCCCTGGATTCCAAGAGCTTTCTGGGAGGTGTCACATTTTTTGTTTGTGGTCAGCTGCAGAGACAAAGATGGAATTCACTGGCTCTGAGGTTGAGGCGGTGAAGGGGGCAACATGTGGGTAAAGAAAGGGTGGGTCTGTCTGTAGGTGCACAACTTGTCTTGAGTCTGCATTACCTTTATCTGCTCCACCTTTTCAGGCTTCAGCTCCTGCATAGAGCATGATACATCAGAGAGGCTGACAAAGACTGATATCGGCAGAGAATAAAAGAGAGGCTGGATAAACACCAGAAACTCTGAGCTCCAAGATCAAGCAAGACTTCATCCCTGTCCTAAACTCTTGCTCCTATCTAGCCTTGTTCATTCCCTTGACACACACCTTTTTGTTATCCTCATCCCAAATCTTGCCACTGATACTCTTCAATGCAAAGGCGATGCTGGCATTCTCAACAAAGAACTGGGCCTGCATTTTCTCATAGTGAAACCACAGGGAGAGGAGTGAGATAAACAGAATATGAGTCCAGAGTCCCTGCTCATTCAGTCTGCCACCTGTCCTTTTTTCTCTCGTCTGCCTCACTGCCCTCTCTTACCTCAACTGCTGTGAAGGGGACACTGCATTGGCTCTGAATCAAATTCAGCAGCCACTTCTCATCATATTTTGCACCAAATGGAATCTAGAAGCAAAGGAAAGGATGGGAGAGGAGACTGACATAATGGAGTTAAAGGTTAAAATTAGACCCAAATATGTTCCTTTTATACCTTTTGTCAGGCTTTAAAATAATCTCTAAAGCTAGGACAACATCCATTATTTCTAATTTTTTTACCAGACACGGATTTCCTAAATACTCTTTTTATTCAAATAACCAACTTAAGATACTTACCATCAACTTTCTTTTTTTTTTTTTTTGTAATCGATTAACTTCTTTTTTTTTTTTCGTTAAATTTTTATTGTGTCAATATACAATGTATATGAAATTTTTATTTTGTCAATATACAATGTATATGATTATTATGGCCCATCACCGACACCTCCCTCGCTCCTCCCTCTCTCCCCTCCCCCCCAAGAATGACCAATCTGTTTGCTTGTTGTAACAACTTCAAAAAAGTATAGTTGTTATATCTTCTTCCCCCCACCA